TCTGTAAATAAAAAAAAAAAATCATTGTGGTCAAATAATATCTCAATCTGTTTTTTCATTTTGTGTTCCACTCTAAACCACAGCCCATGCTACAAATCGAAAAAATATTGTATTTGAATTGCAATTATGTAATAATTCCATTAAGACGGAATATTTGTATCAATTATAGCATATAGGTACATGGGGTTCTGCAAAAAAATGTTCGGTATTTTCGGAATCTCTACAATAGCCTTTTGTTGCTACTTTTTATAAAGATCACCGATTAGATCACGTTGTTTAAATTCTGAGGTACTTTAAAAAAGTTATGAAGTTGTTTACTTAGAAATTTGCTCACTTCTAAAGCAGAACAAATACCGTATTTATTTCATTTTTTTTAATTAATCACGAACTTTTTGTGTGCTCTCAAAATATTTTAAATAACCGAAAAAATATTTAGAGACTAAATTTTTCGAACATCTTCTAAATAAATAGAGACACATATAGAAAACAATTATCATTTAAATGCGATGTTTCAAGAAATATTTGAATTTCGTTGCAGTCGAGACGAACGTCTCAGCAATATTTTGAAAAAGGATTTTCGTACGTTATCTTATTGTTGATCACAATGAGTTTATCCACTCAAAAATTAGATAAAAACTATTTTTATCTAAAATAAGGCGTCGAAATCACCGAATTTTGTGGAGAAAAAAGATTGCAGAAACCATTGTGTTTTACTTAACTTTTCCAATAGAATTACAAAATATATTGTTACGTTGTACGGGTGATTGAATTCGGTGTAGGTTAAAATTAAAGAATTTATTTCTTAATAACTCGTATTTACACGACTAACTATTGCAGCGATTATGTACAAAAATTATTCCGGCGAATTTCACTGGACGCTCTTGACTCCACTAGCTGAATAATAATCTTCATCGAAGGTGGACTCTATTTAAACAGCACGCGGTCCTTCTCGAAACGCCTACGTCACCGCTTCTGGACTTCTCCGGAATCCCATTCGCGACTTCCGTTTCCAGGCGTTTCTTTAGCGCTCCGTCGCTCAGTCGCATGAATCATCACCGGCGTAAGACCAAAGTGTTCTCAATGAGTAGATACTAGAAGAAATTGAAAATTATTAAAAAGGATATGTATTTCAAATCGTCCTTACTTGGTAACCACGGAAACTGTTCTAATTATTTTGCAGTAAAAATTTCCTTATTGAAGATAATTCGTTGTTTCAACCATTTAAATAGCAAATCTTTCCTTCAGTTTGTGTGTGACCTCGACAATAATGCTGTAACTAGAGTGTTGTATTTCAATAGTTAGTAAATTCGTAGGCGGCAAACAAATGTACTTTTGTGACAGAGGATTATAGGCAGTTGTCCGGCGGTGATTATAACTAGGTTTCTTTAGGTATATCTAATAACATTTCTGAGTATAGGTTCTCGGAGATAGTTGTTTTTGCTAAGTAATAGACGACACATAGAAGAAAAATTGTATTTTCGTATTTTCCATCGAAGTATTATGACATTCATTTTAGTGAATGTTTAATTTGATTTTTTCTTGATATGTCACAGCTTGTAAAATACCAAAATGTTGATTTCTCTTTCCTATCCATCTATGTGTCTGTCGGCGAGATCCAAAACCACTAGAGTAGTTGTGAAAAATTTTATATATACTTCAAGATTATCGTGTAATCGATAAAACTAAAACTGTCTGTTCCTTTTTGCAAACAATAATGACATCGTTTAATAATAATTTTGCCGAGTAAATAAAAGTAATAACCCGGTGTATATACACAACTTGTGTAAAGTAGAGATTAAATTTATCATTAGGATTGTGAAGCAACAATAAACATAAAAATCATTAATTATATATTTCGCAACAATATAGCTGAAATTTGATTAAAAATTCTTACCAAGCCAACAATTAAAGTCATATTGAAAGCAGGCATAAAATAAAAAAAAATGCACACATTTTTGACAACTTTTTCTCTAAGCCTTTATTCATCCTATTCTTATTTTAGCATAGATAAAAAAGTGAAGCATTTATTTTTTTTAAATATATTTTGTTATATGAAGAATTAATCAGTGTAGTTTTTACTTCTTGCAGATTACTTAACCGGTGTTTTAATACTTATCTTTTATCTTTATATCAAAAGCACACTTAAGTATATATCTCTATTTTTATATTTGTGCTAATTGTTTTTACACTTTGTAGAATTTAACAGACAGCGACAGATATGCAAAGTGATTTTTTTTCAACCCTCTTTTTGATTAAATTGATTTCTGCATGCATGTTAATATGGTTTCTAAAATTTTTCATTTTTTTTAGAATTCATGACTGTGTGTGTTTAGTAAAAAGCTTGAAACGCATATTATTAGTTATAAATGATAAGGTCTAGTGACAATAAGAATAAGTAGTAATAAATACTTTATTATATAAAAACTAACTGATTAAGTAATGATCTTATGTAAAAAATATTTTGATAGAGATTGATTGTTTCATTAAATGCAAAACAGTTCAATGAAACCGATCAAGTTATCCACAAGTTGTGTCATCGCTTATCGCGATAACCACGATAAGAGCTTATCACAAATAATACTTGTGCAGTAAAACAGTCTGTAAAATTATTCCCAACAGAAATAACACCAGTGCTCTTACATGTCCTAAATTTATTAAATGTAAAGGTAAGCTTAAGTTTTTTTATATTTACATTAGGGAAACTCATAAATATACAAAAAATCACATTTGTCTATAATGAATAAACATTCCCTTAACTTACTTTTTGATGTCCTGTAATTTTTTTCACTGAATGATTTTCTAGACAAGTCATGCATGTATAAAATTGTGAAAAATGTGTAATTTGAAAAAGAAAACGACTCCGACATTCCTGAATTCCATCGTTAATGCATAATGACGTGATAACATTGTTCGGTAATGCAAACCAATTTTGATATCACAAAAATTTATATAAGAGATTACTAGATAAAATTAATAAAGTACACGCCGAAATTGATTATTTTTGAGGGACACTGGGAAGCCAGTAATAATAATGTATTCTTCGCATTTACTTGTTCACATGCTTGTTCATTGCTACCACGAGTTAAAAGCATTTATTGCTACTAGAACAGCATTTTTATCGCTGAGTAGCAGCAGTAAATTCTATCCACTTATTAATGATGAATAATGTTTTACAGAGATTTATATCCACATTTGCGTTTAGAAACATCTAAAAAATGTATTCGTTGAATCATTTTTATTATCGTCTTATCGTATCAATCATCTATTGTTGATACCTGTCTAGGCTTAAAGATAATTAATACTGATTAAAAATTGTGAGATGGTATCATAGCCAAAAAAAAACCATGTATAATACCTACCTACGTATTCTTTTTTTCTGTATAACACTGGTTTAAGTACAAATATATACATAATGGAAAGTTATTAAAACGCCAGGCCATCACATACTTTCAGTTTTTTACGGTATGTTATTTTTCAAAACATAATAATATTTATGAGACGAGCTACATAGACAGCCTATTTTCTTGTTAATTCATAATTTTTTTGCTCTACTTAAAATAAATGACCGCATTTCTATCAGTTCGATAATGTCATGGACAAAGCAGACTGTCTTATAACCACTGTTATCTACCCCAATAGTATTATTATTTAAATTGTACATTAATCAATAGTGTAACTAACAAAGCTTCCGACCCAGCTGTCAGTTCGACAATCGCAATTTTAAATAAGTATTTGAACGTAATCATGAAGTAAATATTTCATACATACAACTTAAACATCGTCTAATGTAACTATTTATCTTATAATAAGTATTATATCGATTGAATATTATATTAGCATATCTTCATGTTAAAGAATTATGCCTTGTCAATAATAAATTAAAATTGTGTCAGCTGAACGCTTCCGAGTTTGTAAAAAGTCGGGTAACACACTGCAATAATTTCATAAACGAAATGAAACATGAAATTTCATTATTTATTGCAACAATATTCTATATTTGGCCAAGCCAAACACACAGTGCAAATAAGTACAGTCTGTTACACTGCTTGGATTTACCTAGTTATGATTTCACGTCTACATTTACACGTAACAGAGGTACTGCATATGATTAATATGTTTCTATAAGTACTTAACTAATGTACACTATGATTACAAAAAAGAGCGATTATGATCAGTTGCGTTATTTGATTGTCATATGTTGTTGCTAAAGCGTTTTGACGAAATTTTATATGGCAACGTAACAATTAACCTTAGGCTCAATATCAAAAGAAGTCAAAACATTGAAATAATTATTTAAAACTACAGCTAGGAATGCTACCTTACGAATTCCTGTCATACTATTATTTGTTAGATGTTTTTTAGATCGCAAAATCGCAAAATTTTGGCGATCTGATAACGAATGACTTACAACTAAAGTTCAACCGTGTTATTTTACAAAGTAACATATTTTGCATAAGCAAAGCTTTTACCATGCAAATCAACTCAGTACAGGCTTCAGTGATAACGTAAAATGTATAATTTCTATATTGTAAAGAATATTAATTTTCGTTACGTGTACCTTGTCCTTAAAAGTTTATCTTCCACTATAAAACCAAAGTGTATTATTATCAGCTAATTGTTCGACGTGAACAGTGGTTTTTCAAGCACCAAACTACAGTTGTGCAAATTTATAATAGGTGAAAGAGAGTTAATGTGATAGGTTTTTTCTGTTTTTCGCTTGTTATCTAATTTATAAGTGGAAGAAATAATACAAAATGTTTACATTTCTAAATAAGTTAATTGCAGTTCTTAAAACGAAAACTAATTTATGAAAGCAAAATATGCAATAAATTCAAGATTTAGTAGGTACATACAAACCTGATCTTTATTTAAGGCACAGAAAAAGCTGGATACTGGTTCCTATGAATATTAAGAACAAAGTTGAAGATAATATTTTTCTATATATATAAAAAAAATGTATGATTCAATGGTACAGCACATTAAAACACTAATTTTTACAGATTGGTCATGGAGACCCATCTCCAAGACAGAGACCGTGTAGGAGTTCAAGACGCTGTTCTCTTAGAAGATTACCAAAGCGAGGAAGTTTTTATTGATAATTTACACAAGAGATTTAAAGAAAATTTAATTTATGTAAGTAAACCGAACACGGATTTCTAAAACAAACATCAGTGCGAAAAAGAGCGATGTTTTTAAGTCCACTTTCATAACAGCGATAAACAATTTACCCCCTATATTTCATGTATATATTTTTTAGACCTACATTGGACAAGTACTGATCTCAGTTAACCCCTACAAGCAACTCGACATCTACGGACCAAAAGATGTTAAAGCCTATCACAACAAACACTTTTTTGAAGTTCCTCCTCATGTGTAAGTTGAAATATGCGTATTAATAGCGTTATTTCAAGTAACAAGTTATTTCGCAGATTTTCCATTACCGACACTGCCTTCAGATCCCTGAAAAATGAGAACAGAGAACAATGTATTTTAATTTCCGGTAGGTAATTCGTTTTCTCGTCTTTGAGTGGGTATCTATTGTCATAATTCAAAACACTTGTTGCAAAATATATTAAAATACGCAACCATTACGCGGACAGTTCGGCAACTCATTTATTTAGTTTTGAAAAGATACACATATTTTTTATATCTCATCCATCATGGACAACCTAATATAACTGAACTGTGAAGTGTTGAGTTGAGTTTCATATATTTCCAATAAAATTGTTTTGATAATTACAAATTAATATTATCTACTGTAGGAGAATCTGGTTCGGGAAAAACTGAAGCGTCAAAAAAAGTCCTTCAATATATAGCTGAGGTCACCGATCGCAGAGGAGATGTAGAAAAAGTAAAGGACAAACTACTTCAATCTAACCCAGTTCTAGAAGCATTTGGAAACGCAAAAACGAATCGTAATGATAACTCCAGTAGATTCGGAAAATACATGGACATCCAGTTCAATTACGAAGGAAATCCATCCGGTGGAAATATCTTAAACTACCTCTTAGAAAAATCACGCATAATCAGCCAGGTCCCGGGTGAAAGAAATTTTCATGTATTCTACCAACTTCTGCTAGGTGCCGAAGATCAAGAACTAGGGCGTCTTAATTTGAAGAGAGATTTAGATTCATATTATTACCTATCCAACGGAGTAAGTTACGAAAGTTTATTGGGAGTTAGAGCATAGAGCATTTCTGTTTTCAGAGTAAAGGAAATGGTATCGATGATAAAAAAGGCTATGAGGCTGTACGAAATGCTCTGACGATAATTGAATTTAACAAACAGGAGCAAGACGAAATGTTTCAGATTACAGCTGCAATTTTACACTTGGGTAACGTAGGTTTTTCTGAAGAAGAGGGAATTGCCCAAATTGTGAAACCTGAACTAATCGAAACTATTAGCGAGGTATCTTGTTGCCTTAAAATAAACGTCAAGATGTTCTACTTTTATTGGTTTTAGCTATTAGGATGTAACGCCGAGGATCTTAAAAATGCCTTAACCAATCGTACTATTGAAACAATTAGGGATGTTGTAACAACACCACTGAGTCGTGAATTAGCTATCTATGCAAGAGATGCTTTAGCAAAAGCTGTGTATGACCGTCTTTTCTCGTGGTTGGTGTACCGTCTCAATTCTTCATTGAAAATTAAAGATATGAGAAGCTACAATGTTATGGGTATTTTGGATATATATGGCTTCGAAATCTTTGACAAGAATAGGTAAGTGAAATAGAATTTCAGAGGTATAAAATTTTAATAAAACTATTTCAATAAAACAGCTTTGAACAGTTGTGCATCAATTTTTGCAACGAAAAGTTGCAACAGCTCTTTATCGAACTTACTCTAAAGTCGGAGCAAGAAGAATATCTGAAGGAAGGAATTGAATGGCAAAATATTGAATATTTTGATAATAAAGTTATCTGTGACTTGATTGAGGAAAAACACAAAGGTAATTTGAAGATCCACTTATAGTACATTAATTTTATTATGTTTCATGAAAACTTAGTCAGTTCTTAACCCATATTTTTAGGACTTATTGCTTTCATGGACGAAGAATGCCTACGACCCGGAGATTCCACAGATATGACGATGTTAACCAAACTAGATAAAAATCTAAGTTACCACAATCACTTCGTCAGTCATAAAAAAGCCGATGTTAAACTCCAGAAGATTATGGGAAGAGATGTATTGTTAAATTTGGTACAATATAACGCACTGCCTAATAATTACTTTGCAGGAATTTCGTTTAATTCATTATGCTGGGGCCGTTACCTACAATGTTAAAGGATTCTTGGAAAAAAATAACGACTTGCTTTTCCGTGATTTGCGAGAAACGATGTCGAAGTCGTCGAACAATATCATCCAGTCGGTATTTTTGAAAGAGGAACAGAAGAGCAAGAAACGTCCGGAAACAGCGATTACTCAGTTCAAGAACTCACTTAATAATTTGATGCACATATTGATGGATAAAGAACCTTCTTATATTAGGTGCATTAAACCCAATGACGAAAAAAAGTCAGGTATAAAAGTTCACTTTTCTATTAAAAACAATATATAACTAATAATATAACTATAGGAGTTTTTGATGAACAACTTGTTGGTCATCAAGTAACCTATCTAGGTCTTATGGAGAATTTACGAGTACGCCGTGCTGGCTTTGCTTACCGTCGTGAATATAGTCTTTTTTTGGAAAGATACAAGAGTCTATCGAGTCAGACATGGCCACATTATCACGGCAGCGCCAAAGAGGGAGTTCAAATTCTGGTCTGTGCTCTTGGTTATGAAGGTGACGAATATAAAATGGGCAAAACCAAGATATTTATAAAATATCCTAAGACACTTTTTTACACCGAAGATGCTTTTCAAGCCAAAAAACACGACTTGGCTTCAATTATTCAAGCATCTTGGAAAGGTGTTCTCCAGAGAAGGCGATACAAACAAATGAAAGAGGCTTCAGTTATCATGCAGAAGTACATCCGAAGATTCATAGCCAAATGCCGCGCTAAAAAGCGAAGAAAGGCAGCGAATGTACTAAGAAACTTTATACATGGTTTCATTACCAGGAACGGTCCTGCAACCTCAGAGAACAGAGCATTTTTAGAACTTGCTAAAGCTCAGTGGTTACTCCGTTTGTCGAAAAGTCTGCCGCAGGATATTCTGAATAGAACATGGCCACCATGTCCCCATGTTTGTCAAGAAGCATCACGATATTTAGAAAGGCTTTATGGAGCACATCTGTCGCGTATCTATCGTCGCAAACTAAGCCCTGAGAGAGAAGCTCAACTACGTCTTAAAGTTTTGGCCGAAAAACTTTTCAAGGACAAGAAAAATAGTTACCAAAGCAGTATTCCACATTGGTTTAAAAATGATAGAGTTTCGGATTCGGTACCGAAGCAGAATTATGGGACAATCCTGAACGGAGAAAAAGAACTGGTAACTTAATATAAATCAATACTATAAATTTGATGAATAATTTAACAAAATTTTAAACATTTTTAGTACGCTTCCAGTGTTATGAAATACGATAGGCATGGTTACAAGCCTCGTGAGCGAGTAATTTTAATAACGAAAAAGAATTTGTATTTGTTGGAAATAAAAAACGCACCGAAAATAAAGCACTCGCTGCCATTGAATAAGCTAACCTTTGTGGTTACTCCAAATGTAGACAAAATGTTATTGGTGAGAATCCCGGAAGACCTGATGAAAAAGGACAAAGGAGATTTAATCCTGGAAGTTCCTCACATTATAGAAGCTATGACACATATTATTAACATCACCGATAATCCAGGACTTCTGACAATATATGATAAAACCCCGTATGTAAAACTGCTGTCTCACGAGTCAGAATAGGATAAATTATTTTCTTTTTTTTTTTTGTAGAATTGAACACTCTATGAAAGGTAAGCGAGGTACCATAGACGTGATCATTGGAAATTCTGAAAGTATTCACAAAGATAAAACTGGACATTTGCTGATTGTACGTGTATGCAATAATTCTAATACTTGTATTTAATTTGTTTACCCTTCCAGATGGCTTCCCAATAATTATCGTCAAGATGAACTGAATATCGAAGGCTCTTAGTAATATCATATTTTAACACGGATTCACATAAATGAAATTTTAACTTAGTACTTACGTGCCATTAAGACTGTAATCAGTATTTAATATTGTATTGTACGAGTATATTGATTATGAAACAGAGTGGGGCAAAAATCGTAGAAATTGCTTAACATAGTTATCTTAGGTTAGAAATATGTCTAGTATTGATATTTTGAATTTGTAATTTAAATTACAGGAACATTTCAAGCCTTTTAGCCTTATACCATGTGATTAAAAACGATTAGGTAACTATTTTGACATCTACCACTGAAGATAAATTTTAACATTATAATGTGATATTAAATTCGCTGTTGATTTTTTGCCCACTTTTAAAAATATATTTATTTTGAGTTGTCTAAAGTTACATTTGTTAGTTTTAACATAACTGTTATACATATTATACATATTTAAATATTTCTGTTTTTTTAACTTAATTCATCAGTTTTCCTTTTACAAGCTTTCCAGATTTAAATTAAAATAATTGAATCAATAGGTATTAACACCATTAACCGTGCATCAGTATTAATTTAAAGAGTTTTGTTAGACTAGCCATCAAATAAAAATGATGCCAGACTTGTTTAAGTACATCTAAAACTAACGAATGCAGACAATATTCTTGTACCTACTTAAGTATACTTATAGGAAACCTACTGTTTCGTATTCTAGAGGTCCTGACATGTTTAGAAAACCATTCGTCGGATGGACCCTATTACAACACTTCTTTTACTAATGCTCGGGAAACAAAAATAAAATTTGAAAAATGATGTTTTACGGCTTAAGTTAAAATTCACAGAGCAATTTTTTTTTAAATCTTGGTACCACACTAACATAGATTTAATAATTTCAGAACATATCGTAATTCTTGTTTACCTATGTAATTATCTTCCCTCCGAAGTTGTTACGTCACCTGAATAAATATTAAATAAATGTTTGTTAAAAAATATACTTCGCCATGCAATATTCTTCGTGCTTTTTACTGAAATTCTTGAATTTTCAGAACCTTATGAATAAAGCCGTTTATTTTATTAATTAAATGATACACAGTGTAGTTTATATTCTCGAAAATCTGGAAAAACATTGTTATTCGTGTTACACTACATCTACGTATCAAAATTATGTTTACCCCCACTGAGCAGTTAATGATGTTATCATACAATATTTAGGAATACGTCGCTCGTATTGCAGGCTGATTTACTTGCGTTTTAAGAATAACATATCCCTAGTTTTTATATTACTGTACGTAATTATAGCGTTCATCCGACGAACAGCTACTTTCATGTTTTCTCGATGTTTCATGATCCCTGAGTATTAAAAAATAGGTCCCCAATTTTGTCTGTCTGTCGTCTGTGTCGATTATTTTGGACAGATAACCTCCGGAGCTACTGGACTTATTACCATGAAATTTTATATGAGCTATAGGAATGTCGTGTAGAAAGCAAAACACTACAATTCAAATTTGTCTGGCCTTCCTCAGCATTAAACAGAAGACATTACTCAAAATTTTGCATAGTCAATGCTATATAAGTTTGTAAAATAATATTATGGGTATTTTTGCTGATTTAAAGACCGTTCGACTTTTTATTAAGTCCGTACAGTTCAAAAGCTAGTGGAAGCCAGAGAATTTCAGAAATCTGAAATGAAAAGCAAGTTGAGTTCAAGAGTGGTGGAAATAAGTAAAGAAAGGAATTTAGAAACAGTTGGAGAAAACAGAACATTATTATTAAAAAAACGCCAGAAAAAATCTACATATTACATTTTCTTGTCTTTAAATCAACCAATTTAATTTCTTTGAAATATGAACAATAGAGTAACGTTATCATGGTGTTGTATTAGATGATTAGAATAAAAGTGCAAACTAGCACGAAAGATTACTAAATATATCTTCAAGAAAGATATACCATACATGCAGAATTTTTTGCTCTTTGGAAGCGGGCACGTTTTATCCTAATAACTTAATTTCTTAATCAGATGTAAGGAATTTCTTATTCTGCTAAAGATTTTTAAGTATAAATCTACAAGCTCGTTTTGTTTTTGTTTGAGTTTCACATTAAACTAGTAGTTAGTTCAAACAAAATGTATATCAAATTTTCAACAAACTCTTTCAAATGGTTAAGTACCTATATGATTATTATTACCATTAAAATAAATTGACTAGTTTTGTATTTTTCAGAGCTACTGAACACTGATTTGATGAACTGTAAAGTTATAATCAATTGCTGATGTATTAAAAGAATGAATGAAAGATTTTTTCCACTTATTTCATTAATTATAACTCCAGTATTGCTATCATTAATAAAATATATTCACATTTTTATTCTACGGTGCTACATTTTTATGGTATTCTGCAACAGCCTGTTGTGCCTTTGATAATGATTTGTTTGTACTCGATGCGGCCCTTGAACGTATTTCATCTTCAACTACTTTGTTCACAGTTTTATGTACTGCTTGCTTTAGTTTTCGAACTTCCGTTATGGCCTTCTTCTTGGACTGCACGGGATGATCTGTTAATAATCATTATTTACAAGTGGGGGTGTCAAAAATATATTGAACTTACTTGCTCTTTTCGTAATTGCACTTCCTTTCTTGGTAGTTTTTTGGTTACTTTTTACATCTTTTGGAAGTTTAGTTTTAACCTTCAACTTTCCTTGGGCCATTGTATTTGCTTTAAATTATTCACGCCTAACGAATATGTAGTAAATAATCTAATAATGCTTGGATAAAATATGGGACGTGATCACAATAACTTGTCAGCACAAACTTGTCAGTAGCATGATTTTTTTAAAATGACAATAACCTTACTAATAAGTTACAAAAACCTTTTCGACACAAAATTCAAAATAAGTAGGCAACCACTAAAACAAATATGCGTTAGTAGAGCAACAAATGACATTAACACATTATAATCAATTACATAAATATATTGGAGAATATCTACCCATAGGGCATTCGGTGACATAAAGTTGCGACACATCACATATTTCTGATAAGTGTTATTATTTCATTTACAAAAATGTTAGAATAATTTTAAAATACAGGAATCTGTAAACCTTCAAACTGAACAAGCGCTAATCGTGGCTCCAACAACCATTACCGTCTCGATAAGATCCTTGCCGTCTGATCGCAGAAGATACTAACAAGTCTTATTAAGGCTTCCTACATAAGTCGAAGACATTATAATGTCTTTTCAGGCCGCTTGCAGCAGAATTGGAAATGCAACACACAATACATTTTCAGAAGCATCATTGAAGTTGACAAAAAACAAATTACGGTATAAAACATAGTCAGCCTTTGCTTTTGGTTTAACATAGCTTTTCCATTGTTCCGGTGTTACATTTTGTAGGGCTCGGTTCCAGACATCAAGTGGATTTTTAGATTTTAAAACGTCTTTGTCGTAGAAACGTTTTGTTTGACTCCATACTGTGCTATTGGGACAAAGAAAAGTTTGTAAAAGTAAATTAGATTATAATAAATTTAAACGTAGAGACAGATGAGAGTGATAGCGATTTTACTTTTGCTGAAAATGATATATGAAGAAATAAAGTTCTATTAGCCAAATACACTGACGGGACTGACGTCATCCGAGGTCATCAAGATGGCAGCGTTTGACAACTAGCCTGTTTTCTCATAAGAGTCAATGCTAATATTTTCGGAATTCATTTAAATTTGAGAGCGTGTCAACTGTGTTTTTATAGTTTGGTAAGTTTGTTACAGTTTCTAGACTGTGTAGATATCTGTAAAACGCACCATAACGTTTGAATAAGCTTAAAAAATAATGTTTTCCAATGTGATGTACAGGTTAACTTCGCTGCATCTTATATTATTTGTTTTGCAAATTAATTCTTTGTTAATGTACATCAATGTTTTTTAAATACACTAGCATCTTAATATTATAATATTTTGTATTTTAGGAGAAAATGCCTAAATTTTGTGCTGTTGTAGGTTGTGCGAATCGAAGCACCAGAAATGCGGACAAATTTTATTTTCCTTTCCCAGCAATTAGCAACAATAAAGGTAAATATATACAGGATGGGGAAAAAGGCGGAAGCTTTGGTTAAAAGCCTTGAAACGAGTGGATTTAACGAAGCCAAAGTAAAGTATTCCTATGTTTGTTCAGATCATTTTATTTTGGTACAGTAACTACCTATTAGATTTACAGTTTTTAATAAATTACTACATTGGTGCTCTTTTAGGTAAACCTGCAGATTTGTCGGATGTGGACCATCCTGATTATGTTCCATCACAAAATTTAGGATATCAAAATAAATCCACTCGTAATACTTGTAATGTTGAAAGACAAAAATAGAGAAAACTGAATAAATGCCTCTAGACTTTTGAATGCACAAATTTCATTGTGGGTTATTTTACTTATTCCAAAAATAAAAAAGTTTAGAATGGTATTCATTGTTATGGTAGGGACATCGTCTAAACACAAATTAAAATCACTTGCACTCATTATATAAGGATCTACGCCGTTTAAATTGTTTAACTTTTGTACATATCTGCTTTTCTCTTTGACGGAAAGACATCGTGCATAATCACTTAAATTATTATCCATACTTTAAAAACAAATTACACACCTTCACTTAAAGCCGTCACATTAACCTCAAACGAAAATATTAATTTCCGATTTACCGCTTAAAACACACGAATGTATGTATTTTGGGTGACGAGGAATTCAGACCAAAACAGCGTTCTGTATTTTTATTTTTATTATGTATTTTTAAACTCAAATCGCCAAAAAAGCACCCTGATACACAGAAAAGATATGAAAGAAGCTATTCACGTGTTTATTTTCTAGATAAATACCCACACTTTTAAATAAAATGCGAAAATGTTAACATTGTCACTTACGGAGTTTCACAGCGCTTGTCAAACGCTGAGTTCCCGCCACAGCGTGACGTCACGTGTTATTGGCTAATTAACAAAGTTCTTGTATATAAATTAAAAATTAAGACCTTAATAATAAGATATCTCGAATTATAAGAGATTAAACATACTTTATTTAGAATGCTGTAAAGTTTCTTCAAAATTCATTGCTTTATTAAAATTTAGTAGTGCGCAAAATTTTAAATAAAAAAATTAAATTTTTAAATTTTCGCGCGCTACTTAATTTCTAGTAACTTTTCTGTCAGTCAATCTATCAGCATACAGACCACGGCCGATACAGACTATAACAAATTTATTTTGAAAGCAAAGCCATCGTAGTTTTATGTTTGAATTTTCAAACAAAAAATATCTTATTAGTAGAGAAATATGTTTTGCTGGTTGCATTTATAGTTTGTAAGGCTCGGCATCACTCATGAAACATGAAACAGCCTGTACATGTAGCAGACATCTGACAGGGAGACTAGTTTTCCAATACACAGATTTCACTCATAAATTGGCCTTATTGGACGGTGCGTAAATAGAAACCGGTGTTGCTAACATTCAAATCCATTTTTAACGTATACATCCCTTTGTGATAGTAAAAAAAACTGTAAAGCCGTATAGAAAACTCAGCCACAAACAAACGTTATTTGTGTCGTTTCAGCAGATTTGTACATTAGAAGCTGTACACAAACGTGAGTTTAGCCCCATTTCTGGCTTACAGAATTTGGTATTTCCAACGACTTTACAGTCGCCAGAATATCACAATAAACCCAATAAACTGTAACATTTAGTAATTGCACCTAGCCTCCAGATGGCAGCTCACGTTTAGTAACTTTTATTTTTCTCCAAAACGCACGACGTTCCCGTTCCCGCGTTGACGTTCCCCTTCCTCCTTCTTTTCAGTTGACATTTTCTGTCGGTTATCGCGCACGTTGTACCTTGTTTACGTGATGTGCCGGTGTGCAAATATGTTTTATAATTGTTGTGCTACCTTGTCATTTGAAGAATTGCAATACGTAAGTCTCGATGTAATAAGATAAACTCTCGTAACACATTCTCTTCTTAATTCAATGCATATTATCCAACAACGCAGAGTCACATTGATGCACACAAACTTGATGTTCCCAAGAGTTTTCTTTTTTCATAACTATGTCTGGAATTATTTATTTTGTTATTTTATGCATCAAATTTAAATCATTTTATGACAACTGGTTCTTGCTAGGAGACAGGTGTTAACATAGTTAAAGAAAATAATTTATCGAAACGAAAATTTGTAAGATGGTAAGGTTAGAAAGTATTAATATTAATAATGCCTACATTAGGGTGACCATTTTCTTCTGAGTCCAACGCGGGACAAAATAATAATAATAGTAACAATAATAAAACAAACATATCTTGAACACAATTTTTAATAAGAATAAAATACATATTATACAAAAATGAGAAATAAAAACAATAAAAAATTTATTTGTATTTTTCAACAGAGTGAACTTGTTTTAAAAGTTCGAGATTGTTTTCAATTTGCATCCTGAATTGCTCACAAGAGTTGCCACTGTTGCACCTTGTTATTAATTCAGCTTTTAATGTATCAAGTGCCGTCATTACTCAATACTCACAGTCACAGAATACGTAAGAAATGAAACCTAAACAAATTTGCGCCCTCTGAACTCGAAGTATGGTACTAAAGCAGCAAATGAATGTTTTATTATTATTATACTGGGTGTTAACAACCTCTAGTTGGAGAAAATTCCGAAAATCAGAGAATGCGGAACAAATGCGGGACACTTCACTCCGCAGGACAGTTTGTTAAAATGCGGGACCCTAGCCTACATATTTTTTCGCCTGAGGCAGATGGCCAAATCCGCGCCCCCATGTTAGTGATAGGATATTTACCTATACGTTACAATTGATATGTGCTCTGAATTTCTAAAGGGAATCCAGAGTTGTAATTGAAAAATGTGGATTACTATTGTAAGACGATTCCTGGTTAGATAGCGGCCTCAGCGCAAATTATCAACAAATATTCATTATCAATGACGGTCAAACGGCTACAGCCAATTGCAAACTACAGATTCACTCACCCCTACATGTGACGCTCTAGTACAGGTCCGGCCCCGCGACAATTCGGCCCCAATCACGAATATGAAAACAAACACACCTGACTTATCTGTCGCTAATGATTAAGAATGGGGTCACTCACCGGGGGTCTCCACCCCCTAGCCCACTCCTTGTCGATCAGCGGTTCCAACTCATGGCGTCGTCTTCAGCGCGCGGTCTTCTGGTGATGTTGTCGAATTACCTGTAATCGCCGTAGCCGCACAGTTTGGGATGTACTGCCCGCCCACAGCCCCCTCAGAAGGAGAGCTGTCTCGGCCAAAGTGGAGAGGACACCTCCACGTTCATAGGTCACTATGTTTCCTCCAGAAACCGGGTTAATCTCCCAACCTAACCAGCAAACGTATTCTCTGTTGCATTCGGTTGCCACCACCGCCACCACCGGTCGGTCAACAGCCACGACACCTCTTTCACGGCTTTCGCCAACCTGCTGTGTCATGAGCCAAAGGCGCCCCACCTAAGTACGCCCTCAGTGCTCAGGTACATACCATGGTATCTGCCGGAGATTTTACGCGTTCACACTACTCTCGTGGCCCCAGGTTCACCTTAACCTGCCACCTTCTCTTATCAACACCTTAACACCCAACTCTTTGCTCTTAACACTCAACCCGAGTCCGCCCCTGTCACCACACAGCTGGGCCTTCACGCCCACCGCTATTTTACACACTCTCACGGACTCTGACTAACTCGGACTCACTGCCCTCAAAATGCACCCTCTGCATCTGAGATATGTCTCTTAAGTGGGGGTTAATTATTAAATCTGATTGGTTTTGTCGCCTTAAAGACCTGCACTAAAAATTCCGCTTACACTATGAAAAATTAAATGGGTTTATTCATTTTAAGTTATCAAAATGACACAAAATGAAAAGTTAAAAAAACATATAATATACAGGGTGTCCCAGAATTCGCGCCATTCCCGTGAATGACATGTTCCCTGTCCCGAACTGTGCCGTAATTCGCAAAAAGAATTGTCCAGGCTTTAACCGTGTGAGAACTGGAA